ACATGAACCCCGTGGGGGAAGCACTTGAGGGGAGGGAGGGAGAACCTTCTTACTCTTTTTTGATAATCAGCCCAAACAATGTTTGACAAGAATCTGGTGAGGTCACTGCAGTAAATATTTTCTCCTTTACAGAGCCAATCATCACCGAAGGATCCCCAGAATTTAAAGTTCTGGAGGATGCATGGACTGCAATCTCCCTAGACAATCAAAGGTGTGTGCTTTCTGCCCAGTAGCTTTTAAATTGCCTGGGAAAGGACCACTGGGCCGAGGGCGCTGAAGTTCGGACGGGCGGGCGGGCAGGCGCTGGCTGCGTCCTCACCGCTGATGTTTGTTCTAGGTCTGCCCAGTTCGAGCACACTATTCTCATCACGTCGGAGGGCGCGCAGATCCTAACCAAACTACCCTACGAGGCCTAAGGAGCAACCCGAAGGTCACAAAGGGCAGCGTCTTATTTTTCTAAATTGCTGAAATCCAGCTAAAGAACTCTTGGAAGAAATGGGGATGCCAAGTCGCCCGCTAACCTACCTAGCACCTCATAGCGTCCTGGAAAAATGCGGCCGGCTGCGGGGACAACTGGGGACTGAGATCTGGAGCCCTGCCAGGGCCGTGTGGCTGCTGAAAGACGGGTCTCGGCCCGGCTCGGTTTCTCAGCTTAGGAAACGACTCTGGAGGAGAATCGGGATGCCCTCATTTGGGAGACTAGAGATTGCAGAAGAAGCACGCTTTCCTCTTTCCCTTGTCCTGACACTCCCAAATTTAGGGGGAATAAAATCAACCAAACAAAAAAACCTTAAACCCATTGTGTCTGCGCGCCTTCGGTTTCTGACTGAAGGGAGAGGGGGTGGGTGGTTAATTTTGAGTGTCTGAACTTTTTACACGCGTGCACGCGGAGAGTAACCTCGGAATCTCTTAGGTGGGAATTTTAAAAAATCCGTTTCTTCCCTTTCTTGCATTGGCCCTGAGGACGCTTGCAGAGACCAGCACCTGTCCCCACCCAGCCCTTCGGTTTCTTTCTCCCTTCATCGAGATCGTGCAATGAAAAGATCAACTCGCAAACAGAGGCATTGATTACAAACATTTCCTTGGCTGTGGGCCCTGGGTTTAGCCCGAAGGGTTTTAACAGTACAGAAACGCGACTTTCCAGGTCCGCGCAGTTCTTTCCGGAGGTTAAGTTTGAGATCCTCTTCCACCACACACGCAAGCAAGCACGCACGGTCGCCCAGAAATGAAGTGTGTGGAGAGTTAGTGGGCAGTATAGTTCCTAAACCTACCCGTCCCCAACTGGCCCTTTATGAACCCGTAGTGTTTCTTTTCCTTTTCTTTTTTTTAAGAGACAGAGTCTTACTTTGTGCCCTCGGTAGAGTGCTGTAGAGTCACAGCTCACAGCAAGTTCCAGCTCTTGGGCTTAGGTGATTCTCTTGCCTCAGCCTCCCGGAGAGCTGGGCCCACAGGCGCCTGCCCGAACGCCTATTTCTTGTTGCATTTCTGCCGGCACCGGGTTTGAACCCACCACCTTCGGTATTTGGGGCTGACATCCTACTCCCTGAGCCACAGGCGCTGCCCAAACCCATAGGTAGTGTTTCGAGAAACCCAAAAGACTCTAGCCAAGGAAGATACCCGCATATTTGGGGGCAGGGGTCTAGTTGGCTGGGATTGGAGCTGGAGGGTTTAATTAACCCTCTTCAGAAGGAGGATCCAAGGGCTCACACTTTCCCAAGGCCCATGCTTGTCCGGACACCCTCTCTTCCCTTGCCTAGCTCTTCAGTACCTGTTCACACCTGGACTCAAGGGTGAGGAGCGCCTGCACCTTTACCAGCACAGAAGGAAGCCGTCCCCTTCAAGTTACCGTTTTAGGAACTCAAGTACAGTAACAGGGTCCAGATGGTCACTGGTTGTGCTAATTCTTGTTTCTTTTGTAGCAAGTTTTGCAAGTTGCCTTTGAGTAAATAGAGGTTAGGCTCCAGGGAGCACCAAGGAAAGGTGGGCACCTGTAGTTACCAGGACAGGTGGCATTGTCTGAGACCAAGAGCCAGCTTATTTTTGTGTAACTGAGAATGGTGGGTGGGGGAAAAGATGGGAAACTGAGGACAAGGAGTGGGCTTCCAGAGTTAATGAGTTCCAGCTCTGCCCTGAACAGGGGGTTCTCTTGACTGTCCCCCCAGCTCCTCCAGCTCAGCTTCTCTGCATCCAGGATGTAGATTTTTGTATAGAGCTGAGTCTGAGGTTAGTGGGATTGAGAGCTAGAAAAGATGAGGGAGGGGTTGAGGATTCACAAGATTCATAGAAAAACTTTAGATCTGCTTGGAGGTGGCCAAGAAGACACTGGGGATATTGCCCTAGAACAGTCCGGATTTTCTTGAGAGAACTGGGCCCCAGTGGCCTTGAGAAGTTTGCTGGAGAATGACTTCACTTTTTTCCTAAAGCAATTGGATTGCATCCATTAGTGGTGTATTTTATCTGCAATCGGTTTATTCCCAGGTTCCCCAAGGACAGTTTTATTAGGACCACAGGATTTTGCCAACCACTGGGTAACACACTGCTTGTGTAGCAATTATTTTGAGGTGGAGGTATTTATGAGACAGGCTTAAAATCCCACTTATTGAAGTGACCAACCTAAACGTGCGCGCGTGCAGGAGCATCAAACTGCCAACACGCAGCAGCTCCCTAGGTATCAAACTTGAATTAGAACAACTCCCGTTTAACATGCTCTGAAAAAGAAATTAAGAAGTAGATTTCAAATTACCGTGTCCCCACTCGTTGCCACTCTGCCAGCTGAACTGGCCCCAAACCTCACTCAGAGCCCAACGGGATTCTAGCCAACTGTGCCTACAGCTAACGCCACTAGGGCCGCCTGCATCCAGGATCCAAGGTGACCTCCAAGGTGATCCAAGGTGACCAGGTCTAAGGTGACCTCCCAGGAGGTTCTACTCAGAATCCACTAAGAATCTGAGACCCTCAGGACAAATGGAAGAGTTTTGTTTTCTCTCAGAGCTGGGACCCGCAACCAGCTAAGCAAACCGGAATTTCAAAACAGGTGTCGCCTTAGCAGTAGGGGGTGGGAGGGCTTCCCTGCAAGCTCACTGCAGACAGATGAGATCTCACTTGGAGAAGTTAGCTAAGGCCGGGAGGCTCGGCGCCCCTCCCCTGACCTGCTTCTCTGGCCTAAGAAATAAGTCTGTCATGTAGACACTCCCTCCCCACACGCAATTCAATTTTAAATTAAATAAGACTCTGAAATCGTGTCCCCGAGGGGGCGACCGCCGGATTTTTGTTCCCAGGAGCCAGCCAGGACCCCTGCGCGGAGAAAGTCTTAGATCCCCCTTGAGAGGTGGAGAGACAGAGCACCCAAGAGACCGCTGCAAAGTGCACCCGGTCTCTTCCCTTCCCCAACTTGCAATTCTCTTTAATAAACTGTTCTTAGGCCGGCTGTCGGGTTTCCTCCCTCTATGCCCTGAGCTCCGAGAGCCACCAATTCCGCTTTCCCGTATCCCAACACCGACCCCAAGTCCACCGCGGAGATCACTTACGTGGGCAGGGCCCTCAAGGCGCGCACGAGAGACCTGGGGCCCGTGCAGCATCCGAGCAGCTGTGCTGGGCACGCGGCAAGGCACTCCACGCCCCAAAACAGGCACTAGAAAGGAGCAATTAAAACCACAAGTGCGACTCGGAAACCAGGACTGGCCGAGCGGCTCCGTGTTGTGGTGACGGAGTCATTAGCTGGTTGCTGTCACAGAGCCTCACCGTGTGGGGTTCGGCGATTAAGGAAAAAAAATCTTTTAGACGTTGGCAAACCCGTTAATGGTTTGGAGTACCGGGTGTTTTTTTGTTGTTGTTGTTGTTGTTTGGGTTTTTTTTTTTGTTTGTTTTTCCTTTTGCTCCAACCACGCTTCCTGAAATACTTCTGCCCCTAGCATCATGCCCTTAAACCAAAGGAGAGGAATTATGCGGGCGGCAGCAGCTGCTACAGAAGTTAAAAAAGAGAGAAACCCCCTCTACTAGTATCTGTAACGACAGCACCGATGTAATTTGTTTTGAATGTTCATTTTTATTGGTGTTCCCTCTGCCAAAATGTGCTTGATTACAGAGGTTTGTCCTGTGATCATTGCACACTCCAGACAGGGGAAGGTGCAACGACGAAGGTTCAGCTCAGGCCAGATCAAATCCCGGGCTGTTTAACGCTGAAAGGCTGCATGTTGCTATTAGTGTTAAATATATGGCTAATTATGCGTATGAAAATTAAACATCAGTGTTATGCTAATGGGGCGCCTTCAGCTGCGGATTTGAGCACTTGAGACTACCATTTAATCAAATGAATCAGTAACTAATACATCTGCACGTGTGAACTTTCACAAGATCATTTCCCCGTTCCCATCACACCGCTAAATTATGAAAGAAATAATTATCAACACTTTCTAATTACCTAACAAAGTAATTTGGGATTCACCGTGGGCTGGCAGGACGGGGAACCAACATCCCCTAGCAGCCAGGGTGACGTGCCCCACGCTGCGGGGAGAGGGGCGGCTGTGCGGTCGTAGTGGGGGTGGTGGTGGTTGTGCGCTTTTCTATCCCAGATGATAGAAGGCGCCGGGGCAGCTCTTGCTCCCCTCCCCCCGGCGCAGTGGCGCCCACTTTGGTCACTGAAGGTGAGAAAATTATTGGGTGACAACGAGAGATAGGTGTACACGCAGACATACAAGCCTACCACAGGCCTGGTTTTGCTGAAGGTTTCGTATTCCCCAGGGACTCCGAAACCCTAGGTGCTCTTAGCAGACTCCAGGAGGCAAAAAAAAAATCGACCACCTGGAGTCCGCAGACCTAGCAGAATGGAGCTCCCGGGCCTCTGGGCTGCACGCTGCGCCGCGACTTCGGGGCGAGTGAGCCCAGAGCGCCAGGCCCAGAGGGAGCGCAGAGGGGAGGGGGGCGGAGGAAGGTTGGGAGGGAAAGAGGATGTGTGTGTTGGGGGAGGGGGCGGTGCGGCCGCCTTTCCTGGGAGGATAAGCTTCCTGGCTCTCGGAGTGCACTGCTTTAATCAGACCTGTGCAGCCTCGAGCTGGAGTGGCCAGCTGGGCCTGGAGAAATGCGAGCGGGCCCCAGGGAGCGGCGGCGGCGGCGGCGGCGTGAGTTCGCCCGGAGGGCCCCAAACCCCGACCCCAGGGATGTGGCACCGCGGACCCGGGCCAGGGAGGCGAGAACAGGAGGCGCTGCGCTAGGCACTAGGCTCTCTGGAGGACCGCAGTCTGCTAGCCTCCTCGGGCGCACCCCAGTGCGGGACTCCGGGCTCTGGAGGCCGCGGTCAGGCTCCTGAGTCGCTCCCGCTCCGCTCCCGACTGGATGGCGGCGACAAGAAGCGGCCCCGGGTCCCTCGCGTTGGAGGCGGGCGAAGGGTGGGGACAGTAGAGGAGAGGGCGGCGGCACCGCTGGTTGGTTTCTGGGGAGGAAAACGCGCGAGGGAGGGGGGAAGCCAAAGAGCCGCGGGCCGCCCAGGTCCCGGCTCCGACGCCGCGGCCCATTGTGCGCCCCGCCCGGCGCGCTCTGTTGCAGAGGAGCCCCAGCCCGGACGTGCGCTCGCTTCTCTCCCGAGGCCCGGCCGCCTCGACCGCTCTAGTCCAGCGGAGCTCGAGCGCCTCGGACCAATCCCCAGTGATTATGCAAGACAGCGGACCAATCAGCTCCGCCAGCTCATGAATATTTATGACCTTGGCTGAGTCAAAGCTTTGAACCGAGTTTGGGGAGCTCGGCAGCATCATGCTTAGACTTTTCAAAGAGACAAACTCCATTTTCTTATGAATGGAAAGTGAAAACCCCTGTTCCGCTTAAATTGGGTTCCTTCCTGTCCTGAGAAACATAGAGACCCCCAAAAGGGAAGCAGAGGAGACAAAGTCCCATACCCAGACCCCGCGAGAAGAGATGACCATGACCACCATGCCAGAAAGTCTCAACAGCCCCGTGTCGGGCAAGGCGGTGTTTATGGAGTTTGGGCCGCCCAACCAGCAAATGTCTCCTTCTCCCATGTCCCACGGGCACTACTCCATGCACTGTTTACACTCGGCGGGCCATTCGCAGCCCGACGGCGCCTACAGCTCAGCTTCGTCCTTCTCCCGACCGCTGGGCTACCCCTACGTCAACTCGGTCAGCAGCCACGCGTCCAGCCCCTACATCAGTTCGGTGCAGTCCTACCCGGGCAGCGCCAGCCTCGCCCAGAGCCGCCTGGAGGACCCAGGTACGTGCGCCTGCTAGGGAGAGGGAGAGGAGGTACACGGGAGAGAGAGAAAGAAGAGAACGGGAAAGAGAGAAGGAGAGGAGAGGGGGAGACAGAGGTGGGGGGGGGTAGGGAGGACGCGGGAGCACTAGAGGTTTCGAATGTCAGTCTACGGATCCTTGTCATAAAAAAAGAAAATTTTAAAGAATCCACTCAATTTACAACTCTCCAGTAAAGGATAAATCCGAGAGCGTTTCCTAGCACTGGCTGGGCCTTTGGGCGGCTTGGTGCGTAAAGCACACAATGCCCCGCTGGAAAACAGAAACCCACATGTGCAAGTATTAGTCTCGGTAATTATTTATTGCGTAGCGCTATAAACAATGTATGCAATTAAGGGTAATTAAACCTCAACTGCCGCCTGCAAAATAGCAAACTTTCTCTGCAAAGGCAGGAGCAGCGCTCCTGGGAACAGCCCTATCCCGCCTGCAGCAACCCAGGACAAGCCCTCAGACTTTAGGGAACCTTTCCATACCTTTCAGAGTTTCTTGAATGTTCTCTTCCCAGCCCTGCCCCAGTCACCCCTCGGTAGCCACTTGGTCTTGGCTGTCGGTACTAAAGGCGGCCCCTCACATTAACAACGGTTCCCGCTTCTGCTGTCCCTTCAGGGGCAGACTCGGAGAAGAGCACGGTGGTGGAAGGCGGTGAAGTGCGCTTCAACGGCAAGGGGAAAAAGATCCGCAAACCCAGGACGATTTATTCCAGTTTGCAGTTGCAGGCTTTGAATCGGAGGTTCCAGCAAACTCAGTACCTAGCTCTGCCCGAGAGGGCGGAGCTCGCGGCCTCCTTGGGACTCACGCAGACGCAGGTATCTCGCAGCTGCCACTTCGCTGCGCCAAGCAAGCTTCCCGCGGCCGGCCTGAGCCAGGGGTTTCATTTCTTGCTCGCTGGGCCTCAGGGTCGGGGTGTCACTGTGTGTGTGTGTGTGTTCACCTCTGGCGCTGAGCGTCTCAGCTTTCTCCCTCATTCTATTTCCCTAGCTCTGTCACTGCTCTTTGTACCCCGAGCTGCCTGCCGCTGGCCCTCAGCCCCTGGACAATCTGATTAGGGCGCAGGAAGGATTTCCCCAGACGTTTTGTTTGGGAACTCTGAGGTCACACGTGCCTGAACAACTGGAACAATAGACTCGGGCTTAATCCCTCCTTTGCCTTTAAAGTGTGTGACTAATCATTCTGGGCTTGGGTTCGCGCCTCTGTCCCCCTCCTCCTCCTCCACCTCCTTCTCACCCGGCAGGGGGGTGGGGGCGAACCCTTTCCTCCGCCTTCTCACCTCTCAAGTCCCAGATCCTTGAGGAGAAACGGGACCTTTCTTCCCGGATTTCTCTAAAACTCTGGAGAGCCCAAGGGCGTTCTGACCGCGCGGCCAGCGCAGGTTTCCAACGTCAGGTTCGGGATTTGGAGCAGATCCGGGGAAATCAAACAGACCCTAGGGAAAGATTGTTTGAGGCCAAGGAAAAGTTCAACAACAGCTAGCGGTCCCTTTAGTTAATCACCAACTCACTCATGGGCAGAAAAGACAGCTCAAAGAGAAGGTGGGTCGCTTTGCAAATAAATTTCCTCGACTTTTTCCCAGGTTTTCGATTCTTTTATTTATTGGAATTACTGGCTCGGTGTTGTGCTAGATCTGCGTCTTCCGCAGATGGTAGCCATGGTCAGACTGAACCCCTGGCAGGCTAAGGCCTGGATCCCCGGCACATCCCTCACCACCACCACTCCCCCATGGCTCTCCGAGAGCTGCACCTCTAGGCCGGCGGCAGCGGTCTGGCCTTTGAGCCTTTGGCACTTATTGGAGGGCGGTCTCCACCTCCAGCAGGGAGCTGCCAGCTTATTCAGGGCAGTGGGAGAGCTCCCTATCTCTACTGTCCTTCAGTCCCCTCTTTCCTCCCCAAGACCAAGGTAGGCCCAGTGGTCCCAGCCCGAGTCACATTGTTGTCCGCTCTTGCAGGTCAAGATCTGGTTCCAAAACAAGCGCTCCAAGTTCAAGAAGCTGATGAAGCAGGGAGGGGCGGCTCTGGAGGGTAGTGCGCTGGCCAACGGCCGAGCCCTTTCTGCTGGCTCCCCACCGGTGCCGCCAGGCTGGAACCCTAACTCCTCATCCGGGAAGGGCTCAGGCGGAAGCGCAGGGTCCTACATTCCCAGCTACACGTCTTGGTACCCTTCGGCGCACCAAGAAGCCATGCAGCAACCCCAACTCATGTGAGGTTGCCCGCCAGCCTCTTTCCAGTCTCCCCCCCCCCCTCGCCCGGGCCCCTCCCGCCTCCAGGTCAGTCTACCCAGTCGGCGCGCTCTGGGCCCGGAAAAGAAGGGCTCAGAGGGAGGGAAGAAGAAGCAAAGTGAAGGCAGGACACCCTCCGCCTCCTTCGATCCCTGCGAGGTCCGGCCCAGCGACTTCCCAGCGCTCAGGCTCCAGCCGGAACCCGGGTTTGGGCCGAGCGGTGACAACGGAGAGTGGCCTCGGAGGGCAGGCACAGCCACCCCGAGACTAAGCAGCAAGACTAACCCACTCGACCGGACCCGCCGACCCTCAGCTTTGTGGGACTATCAGGAAAAACAAAACAAAACACCAACAATGTAGAAAAAGCAAAAGCTCTTTTCTGTCCTGTCAGTCTCTTGTCTTTTTTTGCTCTGTGTGCTGACGAAGTCAAGGTCCTCCTTCTTCCGCTGTCTTCATTCTGCGCCCTCTGCAAAAAGTTATCAGGTCCGAGCCGCACGGGTCCTGCTGGACGCCCGTCTCCGGATCCTGGGGTGTTTTGCCTGACCATCTGTGTAGCTTGTTTGGGAATTGGGGGACATTGGAGGGAGGGGGTTTTATTTATTGAGGAATGGACTTCACCTGAGGCTGAGTGGTGGCCAATTCGAGGTTCTGTGGGGCACAGTTTACTTTAAACGCACTCGGAAAAACGAATGGGGAGGACGTGGTGATTTTTTAATTTATACCGTAAGTTTTGTACTTCGCTGGTATGGAGAGTTTGGAGCCGGATGATTTGCATTTTTCACATGTTCTGTATTGTTTTTAAAAGTTTTAAAAAGATAAATGAAGCCAGCACAATTTTCTCATCTCTGGAGGAACTCTTGGTTGCTTTGCCAGATCAAGAAGGAAAACCCTAATTTCTTCCTTGACTAAAAAGAGAGAAGGGACTGATGAGCAGCGGAGAGAGAAACGAACGGGCAGGCGTCAGTGAACAAGCACCCTAATTCTAGTGGGCTTTAAAGTAAGACAAAAGCAGTTTTACAAAAATTTCTAGAGGCTCACAGAATAATGCCAGTCACCACACTGAACACACAGTCTTCAGTGCAGGATCTAATCACTGTACATATTCTTATTATTATTGTTCTGTAAACATGTTGCACAAGCTTAGCCTTTTCCCGTTCTGTCGTGTGTGGCTGTAAAACCTCATGCTTTGTGAAAAGAGAATCTTGACATTTACTTGTGAAATTTGGAAAATGTGATCAATTGAAATCAACCGTGTTTGTGTTCTCTATGTCAAAGTTTAGTTTTATATTGAGAATGTTAACTTATTGCTTTGTATCTTGGGAAAAAGAACTTTGTAAATAAGTTATAAAGTTTCTCTGAGACAGTAAAATTATGATTTAGAGAAAGAGCTGCTGTCTCATGTGCACTGTGTGAGAGGGTGCGAGGGGGCCAGGCCGGACTTCCCCCTCTGGAGACAGGTAGCGCAGAGCCTCCAGTTATGCGAACAGAGTGGAGGCACCCAGCGTCCTCGACACCAGCATATCATCTGAGGCCTGTGGGGAGCCCCACTGGATCTGTTTTTGCCTTGCTCCCTCCACCCCTAAGGTATCTGAACTCTGCCTGAGTTGAAGGGGTGGGGAGAGAGTGCCTGATGAGGGTCCCAGGTAACGGGGCTCAGGAACAGGTGTGGCAGGGCAGAGCTTGAGAGCCTACGAACCAAAAGGACTGGAAAGACAGGCTGAGAAGAGGTAAAGGCGGAGTTCAAAGTCAGCTGGCTTGAAGGATGTTAGTCCTTCCCACACCCAGCCACCTCTCTGGAGGCCATGAAACAGAAATACTGCTCTGTCACTAGCTCCAACCCGAATTTCTTGCCTCCCAGCTTTCACCTACCGGGAAGCGCAAGATTCTGTCGCTGAAAAGATGCTGCCAGCTGCCAAGCTTGGCCTGGAAGGATAAGTCTGCAAGGCTACCCCCAATCAATCAGTGCATTCCAGGGGACAGGGCCCAGCCCCAGGGAGCCACCCAGGCCCCATCTACAGGGAGAAAGGCCCTGTCTAATGACCTAGGGCTTTTCTCTGTGTCTACAAAGAGGTTCAATGGGGGAGGCATCTGACCAGAGTCAAGTGCATCACCCTACTCCATCCCAGTCCCAGAGTCCCGAGGCCAGGCTGTTATGGGGAAGCCTCCAATGAAGCGGTCAGGTCAGTTCCCTCCAAGGGACTAGAACCAAATTGGCGCCCTTTTTCATGGCCCTGCACTCCATCACAACCCCAACCCAACTCCTGACCCAGCAACCGAGCAGAGGCAACTCCGGAAAGCTGCAGGCCCAGACTGGCTGTTTTGCAGGACTTCTGCTTTCCCGGTATCAGCGTTCCGACGCTTCTGCCCGTGGGGGCTGGCCCTCCACCTTTGGGGGGGCCTTTTCAGGCGCTCAGTGGGGAGCAGAGCCTGGAAGGCAGTGATCTGTGTTGTGACAAGCACCCATTTTTCAATTGGTGCTGGTGAAAGATCAGATGTGCCGGCTCTTCCGACGCCCTTTGGGAAGGGGAGGAGGAAGTGGCGGGGCTGGGTGTGTGTGTGTGTGGGGGGGGGGACGGCGTTGCGGAGGAAACAAGCGGGGTAGTGGAAGATAAACTGGGGGCTCAAGGCTCCTTCTGGGCCTGGGATTGGGACTTTTCCTCTCCCAATGGCTCCCTGAACCATGAGTACTAATGGGGGAGATCAAATCTCAGAGACCAGGGTGTGGGCAGTCTGACCCGCTTCAAAACTGAAAGAGGGAACACATTTTTCAGTCTGGACTCCAGCGGCGTCGGGGCAGCGGTCTTCCCAGATTTGGATTCCCCTGGGAGATAGGACTTTGCTTGTGGAGAGAATTCCAGTCCCCCAGACAACAGCGAGGGCCCAATGCCTCAAGCCACAAGCAAAATCTGTTTGGTCAAGCAGATTTTAATACTTTCAGATATTAGCTTATACTAATTTAATAATCTCTTGCTAACAGTTCAAATAGAGAAATTATTAGTTTTAGCTCAACGAAGGCGGTCTTTAGTTAGGCTCTATTATAATTATAAGCGGTTGTACTTTTAAAAAGTGTTAATCTCAATATAGGCCTAATTAATGCTGCCTTGTTACTGACAAGTAGTTCATCAAATATCTGATTCAAAGATTTTCATAATGAGTATATTAATTAAACTATGAATAATCTAAAGGTGGTTATATTTAAACAATACCTCATTATAATGATTAAATACTGATTTTGAATATTATGTCTTAACAATTGTCACTTAGAAAACACAACCTTTCCTTATGTATGAGTCTGTAATGGCAAAATGCAATTTTGGGATTTTTTCCCTTGTTCAAAAAATGTGAACCTCATTTTAAAACACTTCTGAAATAGGTTACACACAGCTTAATGATTATCAAAATGACTCTTTTCTGCAAAAAAAGACCCCAAAGTGCGCGTACAGCTGCAAACCCAAGAGGGTCAGCATCATTTCACTGTATTCTCTTCTTGATTACAAGCCGGGCCCATCAAACACAACATAATTACAGTAATTTCAGGTTTATTTATTCTAATGCAGTTTCCCCATCTCTCTGGTAATTATGAGCAATTTTTTCGCCCAGGGAATCTTTTTGCATTAACAAAAGAGATAACGCACTGAAAGCCAAATTTGCTGTGCATTGAGAAAAGGGAAAAAAAAAAAATCAAATAGGTGCTAGCTGCCATCTCTGCAATTCTCTGGTACCGGAGCCGGCAAATTGCTTGCAGGTGTATGGAGCAAGCTTGTCAATGGCCGGGCCTCCAAATTAGCAAATGCACAGCGGCAAAGTAATGAAGACAGACTTAGCAAAATTGCCAAACAACAGATACCCCTTTAATATCTTCTCTCACACACACTAGCTCTAAAAGAGGGTGGGAGTAGGGGGGGGGTGGGGACAGAGACAGCAGTCCCCAGCCCCCTCCTCACTGGTCTTGGCTTTTCTAAGCCTGCAAAGGCCTGTAGCCCTATGAGTCTAACTGTGTAAGAACTCAGATCCTGAATGTAGGCAATATTAAAACATATAATACTGGAGACCTATTTAGAGTTCACAATTCTTTCTCACTGATTATTTTCTTTTGTTTTTATTTATTTCTTCTGAAAATCTGAACCTGGATTGGGTTGGATGTCTCTTCGGTCTTCCTAATTCTGTACTAGTTTTTAGAGTCACATAAAGTTTTGAAATCTACCCCCTGACTATATTCACAGAACCATGAATTTATTGTTAGAGACATCTTGATACAAGAACTAACTGAATCTCTCCCCTCGAAGAACTTGTCAATTTCCATCACCCAAGGAAAGGTAGGTATGGGCACTTGATGTAGGATCTGAGAGATTAGATTAAGAAAAATTGGGAGAAAACAAGCTTCCTGGCTTTAAGTCTTTACCTGATATCCATCTCTTTCTGTATCTTTTATAAACTGATTTCAAAATTTTCTGGTTTTTCTCAATCCACCGCCTGAGTTAAACACCCTTGAAATTATAGGCTAAAGCAAACTTTTCTGCTCTTCATCCCAGATGGCCATAGGAACCTCCATCAAATACAATACAAAGGGCAAGGGTCTCTCCCTCTCATGCCCCAAAGAAACCCACCTCCGGTCCCTAACTCCACGGCAAACCCCAATTCTACTGTAAACTGTCCAGCGGCTCTCAAGGGAGCCTTCCCCAGGCTCCAGAAACATGTTACCCCCACCCACCGCTTCCCTACCCCCTCCCTCATTCCCCAATCTTCGGGGATTAACACTTCCTGAAACATCAAGTGTTTTTATAAAAAGGAAAAAAAAAATAATCCTGACATCGCTGACAAGAAGTTTTGATGGAAGAATTAGCTGGTGCATACATAATCACTCCCCCACCCTCCTACTCCCGGAGCGGGAGCCGCAGCGGCGGGCGCAGCGCAGCCTCCAACCTCTGAAAAATGAAACCGGTTTCCACCCTTACCTTCTTCAGTGTCAATTTCAGATAATCTGGACACACACTCTTTGCTA